GGTAGATTGATATATAAACAAGTTTTATATGGTGCTGCAGCTAGTGAGGAGAATTACTTCCTGTTCTAAATCAGTTCGCTTTTGGTGCAATTTTTGCTGCTAGTTATTGCACATACCCGCACTAACGATACTCTACCTCCCCCTACTGTGGTTGTGTAAGTTACTGTGGGTTGTTCTCCTTCTACCCTTCCTATGCATCCCAAAGTTGGCCAGAAGCCACACTATTAGTGGAACATTCATCCTAGTCTCCTTACCTCCAGAAGCTGCTATCAAATTCTTGGGCACTGCACCCCAAATAGCCAGCAGTTTTAATTACATGTTACTGTGATATCCCGTCCCATCAGTAGGAAAGACAGAGAACAAATTACTACATTCCTCCTTAAGTTGCAATCCTATAAACAGGACAGGTTAAACAGGACGGTGATCAGCACTCACTAACCACCTGCACACAGCATTGGGGAAATTATATGGTAGTCCATTGCAGCACATGGTCAGCTGAGGACCATTAGTGGTAAACTTGTAATGCAGGATGACTAATCTGGGCAAAACAGAGCATGATGGAGGACTATGAAGGAAAGTCTTTGATGATGGGAATGGCTTGACAGCGGGGTGGACTAGAAGTATGAATGAGGACAAGGTCAAAAAGCATGTCTACTTTCAGACAGGATGACAGCACCCATTGGGAACATGTGTGAAACACATTATCAGAGTGTGAAACAGGACATAGCCAACAGAATAATGCTATGTTGTCGGAGAAGAAAAGAGAAGTTACCTACCTGTAACTCTGGTTCTTCGAATGGTCATCTCTGAATTCACACTAATGGGTTAATCTGCGCCTGCACAGAACAGCTTTGGAATCTTCTAGAGCTCAGACACATGGTGCCAGGACCTCCCACACGCTGGCTATAACCCCGCCCTCAATAAAAAGAATCATCTGGGTATCTACGATATCGAGGAGGCAAAGGATATGGCTCATAATTCAGTGGCCAATGTCGAGCCCGAAAATATGAGTCCGGATCATAAGGCATCAGGAATTTACGAGCCTCAAGACCATAGCCTCTGGGATCAAAGAAGTCCTATGGATCATCCCAGGGAGGGTGCTGGAATTCTCCATAAGGAGGGTATTCTCCAGGTGGTGGTAGATGCTGAGCTTGATCAGGCTCAGGGTAAAAGTGTCAAGTCTTCTGTCTCTTCTTACACGGTGCATCTGTGACTGAGCCTCGTGGAGACAGAGGGCTGGCCCAAGTCTCTAGTTGAATCTTGACCGAGCTATGTGCCAACTCGGGAGAGAGACTCATGCGCGGCAATAGCACCAACTCCAGCCTCGAGGGAGGAATTTCATAATCTCCTGGCAGTATAGTTAGAGATACCATGTCATGCTGGGCATGGGATATTGGTGCCGACAGAGAAGGTATAGTCAGTGGTCTAGAGCAGTGGTCCCCAACCTTGGGCCTCCAGATGTTCTTGGACTACAACTCCCAGAAGCTTTCATCACCAACTCTGTTGGCCAGGATTTCTGGGAGTTGAAGTCCAAGAACATCTGGAGGCCCAAGGTTGGGGACCACTGGTCTAGAGGACTTAGAAGATGACTTTTTCTTCTTCTTCGGCATTGAGGTCGAAGGTGGTTTCGATGCCGACACTGAAACGGTTGACCTGTCCATAAAGGAATTTTTTTGAATATAGTAATGAGAATTCGAAATTATTAGCTAAAGTGTCTTCTATAAAAAGAATGAAAGTAATATAGGTGTAATACAGGATATAAATGAGAAAAGATGTAATAAAATGAGGGAGAAGCTGGAAGCCTTTCAAACATTTTATAAAACTTTATATAATACTGTAGTAAAAATCCTTCCACAATAAAAATTGAAGAGTATATACAAAATAAATTTAATAAGAAAATTTCAGATGATGATAAAAATATAATGAAACAGATGATCACAGATAAAGAAATAGAGGATATTATAAATAATTTAAAAGCAGGAAAGACCCCTGGAACAGATGGATTAGGCCCAGAGTATTGTAAGGTATTTAAAAAAGATTCTCATACCAAAATTAAAGAATTATTTAATAAGATATTAAAGGGAGAAGAAATCCCACTATAATGGAGAGAATCACTTATAATTTTAATATTGAGACCAGATAAAAGTCCTATACTATAGAAGCATATAGACCCATATCACTGGTAAATCAGGATGCTAAGATATTTATGGCAATAATGGCAAAGAGATTGAATAGTTTTATGTGGAAATATATTGAAAAAGATCAAAACGGATTCACACTAGGCAGGCAAATGTCAGATTTAATGAGGAGGGTACTTAACTTAATGCACCTAGCAAAAGAAATTAATTCCTAGGTGGGAGTAATATCGTTAGACATATTCAAAGCAATTGATTCAGTGGAATGGGATTCATTAAATATATTAATTAATTGTTTAGGGTTTGGACCAAATTTTAATCCGATAATTCACCAACTTTATTCACAGAATACAGCCAGAGTAATAGTCAATGATGGTATAACTGAGACAATACACCTAGGCCGAGGTACAAGACAAGGTTGCCCCTTATCTTCAGTATTATTCACAATGATAATTGAAATATTGGCACAGATAATTAGAGATGATAAACAGATTAGAGGGATAGATAATAAAGAAAATGGTAAGATAAATTTATTTGCTGATGACACATTATGAATAGTTAAAAATCCAGTTGAAACAATTGAAAGGCTTAAAATACATTTGAAGGAATTTCAGAGTATAACGGGCCTAAGGGTAAATTGGGGAAAGTCTGAATGTTTATTGTTAAATTACTCAGATGAAGAGAAAAGGCAAATGAAAATAATATTTGAAGGTAAAATTGGAAATGTTATGAAATATTTAGGGATTAATATCACTCGGAATTTACAAGAAATAATTAAAATAAATCTGGATAGATTAAAAACAGAGATAAATGGAAGGATAAAAGAATATATATCAGAAACTAAAAATTTCATGGTTTGGTAGAGTAGCATTATGTAAAATGAAAATAATTTCTAAATTGAATTTTATATTTTGGATGCTCCCTATAAAGATTACAGAAAACCAACTGAAAGAGTGGCAGACAATGATAAATGGCCGAAGAAGTATTAGAAAGAGGAGCATGTGGCAGTTCCATAGTCGAGGCTCACGTAGGGCAGAGCGATATCTCCCACAAATAGGAACACAGCCTCTGAAGTCTCTGCTTCAATGCAGGCTTAGTAAAAGCCTCACAAACAGTGCAAGAAACAGACTGGTGCTCTTCTCCGAGGCAGAACAAGCACTGTGAATGGCCGTCAGAAAGATTACTTTTTGCAAGAAACTGGAGAAATGATAATCAATTTAGTTTAGAGGAATGGTACAGAGAATTATGGGATATTGCAATTAATGATAAACTGACATGTCATATGAAAATAAGAGGAGAATTGAAAAATAATGATTTTAAGAAAACATGGAATGTATTTTTGGAATATGCATTTTGGAGAGGGAAGGGGTATACACCGAGGGAAGAAACAATGAAATTTTGGAGAGAAAATGGATTGAATGAAGTTTAATTCTAGTCCTGTAGGTGATGGGGGCACTTGTGAAATTGTATCTTATTTTTTTTGTTTTTATTGTTTTTTATAGTTCTTTGTGTGGTGGTAGGTTTATGTTGTATTAATAAAAAATCATTTAAACAAGATGGACTTTGTTGTTACAAGATGCACAGCATTTGAAAGGTCCCGATGTGGCCATAAACTTTTAAACACAGTAATACAATTCAATGTTTTAGCGTTGAACTCATGAATCAGAAGAAAGGTAATAGAAGCCGAAATCGAATAACCGGGAGGTCCAAAGTTTCATATAAGGTTGAGGAAGAAAATAAGCACGAGGCTCTGATTCGAGTTGCTGCAGTAGCAGCAGCAGAAACGGAACTGAGGCACTTGGTGCCAGAGGCGGGGTTATAGCTGGTGTGGGGGAGGTCCCTGTACCATGTGCCTGAGCTATAGAAGATTCTGAAACTGCTCTGCACAGGCACAGATTAACCCATTAGTGTGCATTCACAGAGACCAGGAAGAAGAATCCAAATGCCAGCTCCCCATTAAAAAATTATGCTACTTTTTATCAGTTTAAAGCATGAACAAAATTGTTTTATGAGATATGAATCAGAATAAAAGTATATCCTTTAGTTGCAAGATAGGAAACCAAAATGCTTCAGAGCTGTTATAGCAAAGCCAAACAGTAATAAACTCCCAGCTGTTTTCCTTCAATATTACAAGAGGAAGTAAAAGTCAGTCTGGTTATGTTCTAACTCTGATGCTGATTTAAAACCAAGTTTACATAATTGATCAACTAAATGTTGTCAAGTCAATTCTGACTTAAGGCAATCCTTTCCAGGGTTTTCGAGATACAGAGGAGTGATTCATCATTACCTTATTTTGGGGTCACTCTGAGACTTGTTAATTTCCCCAAGACCATAGAGGCTGGCTCTTCTCCTGAGAGGTAGAGTGGATAAATAGCTCTGGAGTCAGTTGCAATATTTAGTCATGCTCAATAGTAGTAGGTTATTGAAGTCAAAAGAACTGAGTTAACTGGCGGTGCTGACATCAGTAATTCTACTTTATGTACAACCAAATCTGGATCCAGTACCTTCAGTTAACATGGCCCCTTTTTACTTGTGAAATATATTGTGCAAGTTGATTGCAACAATGATAGAGTCATTTTCTGGATTTTTTTTTCCACGTGCTGACTTTTTTAACATCATGTTCTGAGCAGCATGACAACCAAAACAGTTATACACAACATATATCTCAGCTATATTTCTAGAAAAACATATAAGCATTAGAATATGCTGTACAAGAGCAATGGAAAATACTGTGTATGTGTGTATATACACTCACACTCACTCTCTCACATACATATATGCACCCTGCTACATAAAAGACAAATTAGAACAGTATCTCAGTGGCCAAGGATACAGTTACTATAGTGACAGATGTAAACACTGGAAGGTCACCACCAATCCAATACAGTACTTGCAGGCAACTGCAACACAGAGAGAGAAAACTCCCAAAGAACTCATCATTCTTTAGAAGCCAAAAGGTATGCTTTTACATAATTTCACTGAGTTAAAGCAAACAACTACAAAGCATGTTGTGATTTAGTTGTTGAGTCTGCAGTATTCTGAATAGAAGAGGTGAGGAACCCTTGGCCCTCCAGATCTTGTCCAACTGCAACTCCCATCTTCCCCCACAATTGGCAATGCTGGCTGTGGCTGATGGGTTTTGCAGTTCAACAACATGCAGGCAGCTGCTTGACCTTGCTGTAGCTCAAAAACTCCACTCCGAGGATCCACCAATAATGATTTTACATGGAAGGGAAAGATGGTCACTGCTGCCATTTAGGAACATCTCTGACAGCAAAGAGAGAGACTCACCTCAACAGTAGTGGGTAGCGCAAACCATGAGAAAATACATGATTGCAGTGAGATTTAAAGGAATGTCTGGAAAAACAACTACAGGATTTAGTAGTATTGCATATCATAAAGCTAAAGGGTTGTGATCTCATGTACTGGAAATGCATCAGGTTGTCAACTGCTCTGGCATAATATTAAATCAAAATTTATTAAGTAAATAAATAAAGTGCTAAAAAACTTAGTGAATCAGTGTGAGAAGGGTTGCTTTGGCTCTTGTGGCAAGGATAGATTGGACTCCACAGGCTTTAAGGGTGCTTTCAGAAATTGAACATTTATTTCAGGAACTTCAAAGAAATTCTGTACCTCAACTTTAACATTAAACAACTCTTCAGAGCTTATGGGATTAACAAAAAAAGTTTTCTCCTAAACCAGGGAGGAGTTCTCGAAGGTGTGTTCCCACAGTCCTCCTACACCTTCTGTCTCTAAGTCCATCAGTACCGGTTCTGGTGAAAATGGCGCCAGGGTCAATTGTTTTTACTGTGAGCCTCGGTGTTTGTGAAGTCAGCTCCCAGGTATGGAATGTTCCAGGTCCTGAGGGTGAACATCTCCTTGACCCAGGTTGGCTCATCTATTTTTTGCTTTCTCTCTTATCTCCTTCTCTCTTAGCTCTTTCTTCTCTGATCTTTCTACCCCACTCCTGAGCCTCTTTCTCTCCCCAGTAAGAGGGCTTTTGTGGTATCTTTTCCCTCCTCCTGTCAGCCTCTTCCAAGAGGACCATTGGGTTAGGATCCTATTCTCCTTCTCCCCTTCAGTAGTTTCAGCTTCTGCCTCCTCCCTTCTATCACTCTTTTCTTTTTCTACCCCCTTCTTCTCTATACCTGTCTAAAAGCCCTTGTTTCTTTTTCTGATACCTTTCTTTACTAAAGTGTTCATCTCTAGGACTGTACATCAGCTACTGCTTTACACATAAGCAGTTGAGATACTGGTCACCCTTGGAATCACCAAAATAATTCTGTTAGGACCATTTTGCATAGTCTTCTTGAAGAGTTTTTTTTTAAAAAAACAACAACCCCAAAACTCCTGCCTCTGCAGAACTACCATTTCTTGAGGTTGGGTGTCTTGTGCATTCTCATCCAGTGTAAGGACCACTACATACTGCCTGATATTGTCTTTCTGTCTCCATGTCAAGCCAAAGAGCTATCAGGCAGATTAAAAGGACTAACCCTATTATTAGAGAGTATGAAATGATAATCATGGGTAGCAGATCCTGGGAACAGTAGTGACAGCCTACTAGTTTTTCCCCACGGACAGGAGAAGGCTGTGCCATACAGTATAACCTGGGCTCCCTAACTTGTCTCTGTGGAAGACGCTGTCCCATTCTAAGTATAGATGGGCGGTTTAACTGCTGGTTCTCCTCGATTCCTGCTGGAATGGAGAGAAGTGCCATTTTGTTCTGCTCTCTGGCATCAAAACACTGTATAGCAGATTAGCTATACAACAGACCAAGAAATATGAAGCAGCTGACCCTCTAGAGCAGCTTCTGCAACTGAGAGATATTTAAGCAACCGTTGCATGGCATTTACATTGTTTTATTCTGCTTGATGTTCCCATAAGGTTCAATATTTTGACCGTGCTGTAAGAAAAATGGATAATATTACATCCGATATTTTAACACTCAAATTTCAAAGCAAAATTATTCAGGTTTCAGTCCTATACACATCTGCTTAGTAATAAGCCCCACTGAACCCAATGAGACTTACTTCTGACTAGATATATATAGAATTCAGTGCATAGAATTGCACTGCTAGACTCTTTCTGGAGAATCATATAACTGTCATTTTGGAAGGAACCTCATAGGGCAACATGATCCATAGCTTTAAAAAAAATCACTGAGAGATGGCCATCCAATCTCTGTTTTAAAAGGGTGAAATGCAGGAGGGTCTATCAGCTTCTGAGGTAGTACATTTCACTGCCAAGCAACTCCTAATATTAGGAAGTTTCCTTAATGTTTAGTCAGAATCTCCTTTCTTGAATCAGTTGGTTGAGATCGTATCCTCTAGAGCAGCCATTTTCAACAGGGGATCCTATGGCCCCTTGTGGGGAGCCTGGTCCATTTGAAGGGGTACACAGATCAGAAATAGTTCTTCACACACTACCCTCTAAGATTTATTAAGTGACTTAATATAGTCCTGATTCAGCCTATCTTTCTTTCTTGTTGTGTTTATGACTATGGCCAAAAAAAGAGAGAAGTCAGCCTATCTTTCTTTCATGTTGTGTTTATGACTATGACCAAAAAAAAATGGTTGAGGATGGCTGCTGTAGAACGAGAGGAAAACCCTGGAATTTGCTCATCTTCCATGTAACAACCTAGTATTTCAAAATGGCTATCATATCACCTCTAAATGTTATCTTCTCCAGGCTGAACATACCAAATCTCTTCAAGCTTTCCTCATAAAGATTGGTTTGAATATCCTTTATCATGCCCAGGTTTCAGCCAGGAGTGCTTTTGCACAGTTAAAACTCGTGTGCCAGCTGCAGCTGTTCCTTGAGATGTCTGATTTGGCTACAGTGACGCATGCCTTAGTTGCATTCTTACTATAACACTCTCTATGTGGGGCTGCCTTTGAAGACAGTTTGAAAACTTCAGCTGGTGCAAAATTTAGCAGCTAGACTATTGACTGGAGGCCAGTTATAGGGAGCATATAATGCCCTTCTTGCATCAATGATTACTAGTCCATTTCCAGGCACAATTCAAACTGCTGGTCATTACCTATAGAGCCCTATACAGCTTGGGTCCAGGCTATCTGAAGGACCATATCTCTCCACAGGAGCCTTCTTGGTGTTTAAGGTCATCCTGTCAGCCCCATTGCCAGTGCAGGCATGGCTGATGGGGACAAAAGAGAAGGCCTTCTCTGTGGCAGCTCCCAGGTTATAGAATGCTCTCCCCCAGGAGATCAGCCTGGCCCCCTCCCTTTTATCCTTCCACTGACAGCTGACAACCCATCTCTTCAGGCAGGCTTTAACCATCATGATTGAATCCCTGGAGGCCTTCTTAGAGTTAAGATAGTTTTTAATCTTTACTTGCTTTTAATTATTCAATTGCATTCTAATTAGCATAGTTTGTTTGCTTTTAATCTTTAACTTACTATGTTTTTAATTCTGTGCCTTATAATATTGTAGCCACTTTGGTTCCCCTTACCAGGAGAAAGGCAACTTTTAAATAAAACAAACAAACAAACACATAAATCTTTGGTCACAATCCTTTGAAACTGGTGACCAGAACTGGAAACGGTACTCAAGGTGAGGTCAGACCAAGGCATAATACAGTACTGTTGATTCTCTTGACCTGGATACTATACCACTTTTGATCAAGCCCCAAAATGCTAGAAGTGCTCCCACCACTGCCCAAGCACATCATTGTGGTCTATTAAGATCCCTAGAATCTTGCTAGTCATATCCCTGCCATCCATCCTGTGTTTGAGCCATTGATGTTTCTTATCAAATGTAAAACTTTACCTTATAACTGTATCAATAATGAATCCCTTCTGAGGTCAGGGCGGTTCTGCTTTGTTCCAGAATACTGTTTTTCTTTTGTTAAGGAGTTTTGCTTTAATTTCTGGTACTTCAGCTGCTGAAAAGTCAGTTTACTGCTTGTTTTCCTAATTGCCAATTGCATTGTTTGGTAAGAAAAGCTCTAAAGTTTATTTTAGAAGACTTGCATTTTTAGAAAGACTGCACTCTAGACACCTTGCAACACCCCCTTCTTCTCCTGAATGTATTGCTATGAAAATGCTCTGAAAGTTGTGAAAGAGGTTTCTGCTTTCAGCAGCACATCTTTCTCCCTCTGTATTGGTTTTCTTTAAATCAATTGTGAACAGCAATGCAGCTTTACTGTATAGACAGCAAGATCTTATTCTGCTGCTCATTTATCTGTATTAGGATGTTGACATAGTCTTTTGAGACTGGAAAGGTGAATAAGGTGCAGAAATGCAACCTAATCTTACCCTGACCAGAAGATAGTGCATATATTTTGGTGGCCATTGTCTTCCATCTGCAATTTGCCTTTAGATTTCTATGGGCAAGAGATAGCAGTCTCTGCTAGCAGAGACAGCAGCTAATTTATCACCAAGGTCAGATACTTTTTTGTTCTCAAATCACCCCCTCATGGTAATTGTTTACATTAAAGATTTCCAGGAAAAATCACATAGACTGAAAACCCTTTGTTGATTCACACTTTATTGACAATTGAATTAGGTGTAACTTACCTTGTTCTCTTGGCTGCACTGTTCATAAGTAGTCATTGTCTTTAAGACGCACCAATTTTTTAGGAGAAGAAAACAGGAAAATATAATCTGTTTTCTTTGCTCCATAAGACGCACAGCCTTTCCACCCCCCTGTTTTGTGGGAAAAAAGTGTGTCTTATGGTGCGAAAAATATGGTACCTCGTTCTCTTAGCTGCACTGTTCATAAGTAGTCATTGTCTCATCACAGAATCAAGCTTAGTCAAATTTAAATCCACAAGATATAAGTTAGCAGACACATTTGAATCAACAGGATTTAAATTTGTAACAGTTAATCTGATTTCCACTGGTTTCAAGGGGCCTATTCCAAGTATGACTGACTCTTGATACAATACATAGGAAACTTCTGTACTAGGGATGGGGAGCTGTCATGTGTTGAAGCCCCCTGATCCAGTCTATATTGTAGGCTGTACAGATCAGGGCTAACCCATTATCTGCCCTTTTGGAGACCCTTTCACCGGATCTTTGTCCAAGTCTATGATGATATTTATTCACTGCTGTTTTTTTATGATCCCATTCTTGTGAATGGAGAAACACAAACAGGACACCCAGGTCATAGACTGAATGATGCAGATAGAACAGAAGAACTTCTTTTCTGGACGGCAACATTGCAGCACTGGGCACTGTATTTTATTCTAATTTTTCATTTTCCCAGTAGGAGAAAGTCCTCCCCTAGAGACTTCTCACCAGGAAGGGAGTCAGGGAAGGATTTGAAAAGAGCATGCTCCCCTTTGATTCCTTCTTAAAAGGGCAATGTAGGGAGCCTGATCTCCACATAGTTTCTGACCATTCTCTGCATCCCTACCTTTCGTATTCCCTGGATCTGAAATTAGTATTGCTCCATAAGACACTGATTATTTAATAAATTTCATTACAGACAGAAAGGCAAGGAAGTTTAAATTGTAAGGTAACGAGCATGCTCTGCTTTACCTTCCTAAGAGGTTTTTCCCCCCACTCTTAATTGCAATACATGATTGCTGGACTTAACACATGACATCTGTTTATGACCAAAATCCTGTTGCTTAGTGTAGTAAATCACACTAGAGCAGGCCCGTTGAATGGATGGATATCGAGTAAGTCAACCTCTTCATAGGTTCCACTGATTCAAATGGGCCTACTCTAACTGCAACTTACAATGCTAAAATAAGTTGGAATTAAGAGCAGGCCAATGAAACTTACAGAGAAGGCAACTCACAAAATTCCCACTAATTCAGTGGGCCTACTCTATGCTAAGCAACAGAATTTTGGCTAATGTCCCCTGGGCTCTTTTTGTCATTTGTCATTTTTGATGGTAGCCTTTGTGATGCACAAATACTCCTACTCGTTAGAGTCTGCATATATATTCATGTGAAAAAGAAAGTACACCCTCTTTGAATTCTTTGGTTCTACAAGGTATTGAATCATAAGGTATACTTAGTTTTTCACACATGCCTTCTCCATTTTGGCTTTATTTTTGTAAAATAAAGCATGACACAGTGTAACATGTTATGTGTTGTTGTTCATCTGAAGTTGTATTTACCTAATTTTCAGATTTGCTAAGTACTAGATGATTTTTATTATGTCCTGATACATAAAACCATAGAATTCAAATATGGTGTACTTTTTTACATGACTATATGTTCAAAGTAAGGGCACATGCCTTAGTAGAATACACACAGTCCCCTACATTCCTCAACATTACTTATACTCTAACTAACACTGGTCAGAGATGTAGTCCAGCAATAACTGAAGAGCCACACAATGTTGATACAGTGAGATCAGAAAGTTACATTAAGCTATGATTTGCTCACAAATATAAATTAAAGTTTAAATATGATAACTCCTCAAAAGTAAGTCATAGATCAATTGGACTTTTTATATTAAGCATCCTTCAGTCTTGAGAGACTATGGTAACATGCTCTGTATGGAGGACTTGAAACAGCATCTAGTGTGGCTGAGTAGGCCAATTCGAGAGTGACAATCCCTTCCACACTGAAGACAAATTCCACTGCAACTCAAATTCCACCAATTCAGTTGGGAAAAACTGAATGCAGGAAGGGTGGATCTTGCTTTCCCACAGAACCACACAGTTTAGAAGATGGTGGGAATGCAATTCTGCACTCTTCAGTTTTCCCAGAAGAGTGCTGGAATTTTTGAGAATGGCAGGGTAGCTACAACAATTAATTACAAAAATCTACAGTGTTCCCCACAGAAGGTACTAAAGATCAAAGCATGAGGAAAAACCAAGGATGGTTACAAATTTGATGACAATGATTTCTGGATTCTATGCAACGTTCTGTGAATAAGACTGTGCAACTGTACAATAACAACTCGTTTGTGAGCACCTTCTCTGCTCCTTTGAGCTTAATATCACAGAATTACAAGTGTCCAAAGATCCTATTTTATTTATTTATTTATTGCATTTATACCCTGCCTATCTAGTTGAATGACCACTCTAGGCAGCTAGAAATTATTTTTATACATTACAACTCCTGGGAGTAGATAAGACTTTTAAAAAGTGACATACCCACTCCCAATCTCTGGAACTTGCAGCACCTTAAATTGACAATAAGTACTGGTCATGTCCCTAATGATCACACATATAAAGACCACATGATTTTGAAGTTCAGTGGTTACTGAGAATACAGTATTCTTCGTAACTCCAGTATCTCATTGATTGCTGGCAGATGAAGAAAGCTTCAGAACAAGCCAGGGTATGCTATGGACGTATCTCTCAATTTTCAGATCCTGTGATCACACACATTACTGAAGCACTCAATGACAGTTACTGAAACTTGTTATTGTTGTTAGCCAAGGCTGAAACCTAACCTACCTTGTAGATCTCACAGCTTTTAGTCTTCCTTCATATAGGTAGTGGAGGTTACCATGAGTTATGTGCGCCCCAGCAAATATGATGGGGATTTTATTCATCCCAAACTATGTGTAATGTATGAAATATAGTAACTTTTGATAAGTAAGCTTTTTAACTGCACACCCAAAGTAATTTTTTTCTCTAATAATTATTGGCATCCCATAGATTGAACTTCAGGGATATATGTAAAATGTTGCCTGTCCCCTCCATGTGCAGATCTATTTGATCGATTAATTTCTTTGGACTACACAGCAAAATCATTTAAAATTTAAGAAGAGCTGGAAAACTACAGTCCTCTGCCCACCTGTTTGATTTTGTTTTGTAGAAATTCACACTACTGCTGTAAACAAAAAAAATGATTTTTCAAACTTGTTAAATTACTGCTAACAATTACTTTCATATTTAGCCTTGCAGTCATAGTGGATATTTAGCATAAATATATGTACCTTCATGCACAAATAACATTTATTAAAAAGGGAGAATAAGTTGGTATCCAAATAGCATGTTCAGGGTAAAAGTCTGAGAAAACTCTTGAGACATTGCACTTTTGATGTGAACATATCCATATGCCATATCACACTGCTGTGAAACTTTCCTCTGGTTTCAGAAGCAATTCTGCCTAAAGCATTGGTGGGTTAGCCAGTAGCCATCCATATATTGTTCAATTACATCTATTATCAATCCAGATTATAGGCCATACTGGTTGCAGCTAATGGAACTGGAGTCTAACATTAAAGGCCAGATTTTCAATCCCTAGTTAAACACAAGTTCAGAGCCTTTCTTTGGTACTTGGCCCTCAACTGCAAATCTATTTTATGCTCAACTACTCTCTCTTAATTTGGTAAGACCAACTGAAACAGGTTGACTTATAATAAATAAATTTCATTTTCTTTATAGAATGACTTATGAAACAAAACCACAAAGTTCTGAATTACACCAAGATGAGGAAGATACAAATGTGATTACTACTGATTTCAAGAAAGTTGGCCATCTTGACATTGCAGTTATTTGTTCCATATGTGAAGGAGCAGTACACATTAATAAGCTTTTTCATCATAAAAAGGCCCATCAGGCTCAGGCTGTATTGGATTATCAACGACCATGGACGGAACCAATAGATATAAACAAAATAAGTTTCCAGAGAAAACAACTAATTTTAAGAATGAAAAAGGCTGATAAATTCACTGAACGCGAAAGAGAAAAAATTGGCTGTTCATTTGATCTCCTTAAAGAAACCCTCAAGATTGCTCCATATTTTCACATCAAGAGTGTTGCTCAAAGTTCAGTGCATATTGAAGTGGTAAGTAATCCACTGATCAAAGCCATAGCAATTTGTCAAGACAAAAATGTAGTTTGGCACACAGACTTGGAAGATGTTTTTGTTGTGTTAGACAACTATGGAAACAGAAAAGGGACATGTTTTCTTGGAGTCTTTGATGGAACTAATGGTATTTCCGCTGCTCAGATAACTTCAGCTGAACTTCCCCTCTTATTTCTTGACCAGCTTTCTCTTGGAGATCCTTCTTATGAAGTGAGCGAAGCTGAGAGAAAAGTGCTAGATTCATTTCATACAATCTTTAGGGCAGATTACAAAGTAAGAGAAAAAGATTTCACTTTTAAGAGAGTCAAAGGCAAGATATCTCAGCTAAGAACTCATGAATGGATTCACAGGGCATATGCAAAATCTTTTTGGCGGATGGACAGACTTTTACGACTTGGGAGAAATGAAGTTTCTAGAGTTCGATGGAGCAGCTGTGCAGCTGTCACTTGTTTAGTGGAAAGGATAAACAATGAGAAGGAAAAATGGGATCAAGAGAGAAATAAAATATTTGAAAAACAACATGATGTCATACAACAGGAAGAGGAGGTACCTGAAAAGATAATTGGAGCAAAGGAAAAAAGCAACACAGAACAAGGGTCAGGCAATTTTGAGGAACAGCAAAAAGACGAGCTGTCTGAAAGAACAAATGCAGAAAACGAACAGAAATTTATGCAACAGAAAGAGATGCTTGAAGAGATAAGCAACACAGACCAAACAATGGGCAGTGTGGTGGACGAGTGCATGGAGGAATCAACTGAAAGAATGAATGAAGAAAAGGAACAGACCAGCATAGAAAAGGACATGGTGGTGAAGGAGTTGTCTGAAGTGATAAGCAAAACAAAGAGAAAAAGCAGCACAGAAAGAACAAGTTGTTTCATAGAACAGCAGAGGGAGAAGCCAACTGAAAGAATGAATGAGCAGGAACAGAACATCGCACAACAGGAGGAACTACTTGAAGGGCTAGGTGGAGTGAAGAGAGAACACAATCGAGAAAGAGGTACAGGTAGTACCACTGTGCTGTGGTTGGAAGAGCCAACTGAAACATTGAATGAGGAAAAGAGAGAGAACCTTACAGAAGTAGAGAAGGAGCTCACTGAGAGGATAGAGCGAGCAAAGGGGAAAACTGACATGGAAGAAGAAACAGGCAGCATTACAGAGCAGCAGACAGAGAGACCAATTGAAAGGATAAACGAGGAAAAGGATCAGAATGCCATTAAGCAGGAGCACCTACCAGGAGATTTAAGCAAGGCAAAGAGAAAAAGCAGTGAAGAACGAGGAATGGTTAGTAGTACTGTGGAGCTGTGGAGGGAAGAGTCAACTGAAAAAGTTAGTGAAAAAAATGAACAGAATATCATACATGAGGATGAAGAGCTCTCTGAGAGGATAATCAAAGGAAAGGAAAAAGGCACAACAAAAGAGCAGCAACAGAAGCCTCTTGAAATAATAAATGATGGAAAGGAAGAGTGTATTACAGAGCTAGGAGGCAATGAACAGAGCACAAGTAACAAAGATGGGATAGAGGAAGAGAGTCTGCTTGAAAACTGTCCCAATGAAAACAGTGTTGGAGTACTGCACATTGCTAATATAGGTATGTATGCAATTCCCGTATTATATTCAAACATCTTATCTATTTTGGCCTTTCAGTTTGAACAGAAGAACAAAAATCTACAACTTATTTCAATACTGCAAGTTTGCAAGATGAAATAATTTTGAGCTACAATAATCCTAGAAACGAAGAGTGGGGATTCAATATGTTATGTGCCATCAATTGCCTCCGATTTACGGCAACCTTAATAATGAGTGATCTCCAAAATATACTGTCCTCAACAATCATGCTGTATGTGCCATCAAGTTGCCTCTGATTTACGGCAACCTTACTAATGAGTGATCTCCAAAATATACTGTCTTCAACAATCATGCTCTGCTCTTGCAGATTCATCTCTGTGCCTTCCTTTAGGAAGTCAATCCATTTCATTCATATTTGATCTCCCTGCAGTCTTGCTGCCTTCAACCTTCCCCGGCATTATCATCTTTTTCCAGAGACAATAATAATCTTGCCTTCTCATGATGTGCTCATAGAACTGCCTCAGTTTTAACATTTTTGTCCCCAGAGATAGTTCAGGCTTGATTTGATCTAGGACTCACTTCTTTGTCTTATTGCAAGTTCAGGGTATCCATAAAGCTCTCCCCCAGCAAGGTATTTCAAATGAATCATTTTCCCTGTCAGCTTTCTCATCTATATGTTGGCTGCAAATACAAAACTGTGAATGATCTTGGTCTCGATTTCCAGTGGAACTGTGGGATAGCTCAGTGGCCTATGAATCTGGCTGAAAAGCCAGAGGTTGAAAGTTTGATTCCTCAGTTCCTCCCTGGAAGAGGCGGGACATGATGATCCATAGTGTCCCTACCGACTCTGCAGTTCTAAGATTAATAATAAGATGCTTCAAAGTTTCAGTCTTCTAATTTTTTGACTGCAGTCTCCGTTTGAATTGATGATTGAACTGAGGTACAGTATATAAAATCTGTAACTATTTCAATTCTTTCATCGTAAATGTTGAAGATGTGTACCTTTCTGTAGTCATCTTTTTTGTCTTAATGTTCAACTGCAGTCCTGCTTTCATTAAAAATTGTTTCAAATCACTGTTGCTTTCTGCCAGTAAGACAGTGTCATCTGCACATCTTAAAGTTTCAATTTCTTCCATCAATTTCCATTCCTGCTTCATCTGAATCTAGTCTGGCTTTCAGTATATGTTCTGTGTATAGCTTGAACAAGGGGATAAAATGCATCCTTGTCTGACACCTTTGCCTATAGGAAATCATTATGTTTCTCCATCTTCTGTCCTCACAGTAGTTTCTTGTCTACAATTCAGGTTATACATCAGGATAATCAAGTGTTGAGGCTTGCCCATTTCTTTCATACCGCCCCCCATAGTTTCTCATGATCCACACAATCAAAGGTGTAGTATATAAAGCATGATCTTCTTCTGGAATTCTTTGGTGTACTCCAGAACGTACTAACAATATGATCTTGAGTACGTCTTCCTTTTCAAAATCCAGCTTGGGCATCAGGCATTTCTCATATAAGGTAAAAGTCTTTGTTGCACTATCTTGAGCATCATTTTGCTTGCATGAGAAATTACATTTGCTGCATTCCTTGGCATTTCCTTTCTTAGGGATTGGAATGCACATTGAGTGTTTTCAGTCTTTGGGTCATCGTTTTGTTTTCCATATTTGTTAGCATATTCTTTTTATGATTTTGACAGATTTAGTCTTGTTGGCTTGAAATAGTTTTGTATGTATTCCATCTATCTTCAGTGATTTTTCTTCATAGTGCCTTCAGAGCAACGTTCACTTCACTTTCTAGATCTGCAGGTTCCTCATCAGATTCTTCTTCAAATTTGTCTGCCATCCTTTTATCTCTTCTGTATAGGCCTTCAGTATATTCGTTCCATCTTCTCTTTATTTTCTCCTGGTCAGATAGTGTGCTTCACTGTCATTCATTCAGTATTCCTAATCTAGGCTTACATTTCTCTCTGATTTCTTGGATCTTCTGGAAGACACAACTTGTTCTCCTCTTTTTCTTTGTATTCCTCTATTTCTTTGCATTGGATTCTGTAGTAGTTTTCTTTCTCACTACATGACAGCTGTGGAAAATCTGCATTCAGGGTTCTGACCCTATTTTTAATCATCTTTTACTGTTGCTTCTTGTCTATTCTTTACAATTCCATCATCCATCTAAATTTTTCTCTTCTCTTCAATGTAGTAGAAAATATAGTATAAAATAAAACAGAATATTTTAAATAAGTGGATTGTTTTCACTCAAGCACTCGATCAAACAAGGGATAACTCAGTTTCCTTAGCATTTCTAAAGCACTACTATTTTCTTTGAAAATATTTGCCATTGGTAAGGTTCGCTGTTAGATCAGAAGACAATCTGGTCAGTTCAAATTTCAACAAATCACAGTTCAAACTAACCAGAGTTCCCAGCTCAGTTGCAAGAAACCATACTAAGTTTAAATTCAGGCATTTGCTTCTTGTGTTTCCTTATATACTGGAAGGGAAATAAATAAATTCAAAATGTTATATGTGAAGAGATACTATGAAACAAAGATATAAGAAAGTAGCTTACTGGAGGAGTATGTTTTCACTGGGTTGTTTACTGACAGATACTGTGTTTACGTGTGCACACCCTACATACTATACACACACACACACCTATATACTTGAACATGCTATCTTTTAATTTTTAAAATTTGTCATTAAGTATTTTAATAATTTTACATGTAGATCACTTAATTGATTGCACTATATGCTGAAATCTATTAACACAGGATAGGTTAGAGATACTGCAATAAATAACTATAAATACATTCCTTCTTAGTCATTGTTCAGGCTCCAAACTTGTATGGTCTCAACAGTGAAGTCACTGCTAAGGGAATTATGGAACAGAAAGGAGAAAGACAGTAACCAATTATTGCCATTTTCAGCAGCACCCTTTTGCCTTCCACTGTGCCTAGTGCCACCATATGGAAAACATATAACCATGTTTTCCCCAAAATAAGACAGGGTCTTATATTATTTTTTGCTCCAAAAATGTATTAGGGCTTATTTTCAGGGGATGTTGTATTTTTTTCATGTACAGCAATCCATACTTATTCACATCTAGTCATGTCATCTTCTTCTGGTTGCTGTACAATAGTGGAGGGCAGGGTTTCACTTAACTAGGGGTTATTTTTGGGGTAGGGCTTATATTATGAGCATCCTGAAAGATCATACAGTACTAGGGCTTATTTTCAGGTTAGGTCTTATTTTTGGGGAAACAGGGTATAAGGCATGGGGAATGTGGAACATGACTTGCAATACAGTAACAGGAAAAACTGTATTAGCTGTACAGAACATAGATGTTTAGCACCAGCCTGATCTAGAATAAATGAAAGGTAATTGTACAAAGAACTATATAGATGGGCATCATCATGATCATGCATCTTACGTTTTATACATCATAAATAGCAAAACAAAAGTTTCCATGTTTAGTCCTGATTAGTGCAAACCCACTGAATCAGTGGGATTTAAGAAAGTCTTGACTTAAGCTCCGTAAGTTCAGTAAACCAATTCTAGTTGGGACCATAAGATGAACAGAGTCTAATGGTTGAGATGTAAGCATCTAAGAACAAAATGGCTATAAAGAACTGATTTAGCATTAATACAGTATTTTTAAAAATATATAGGTAATGTTCATGCAGTTTTATGCAAAGATGGGAAAAGCTACTGGCTTACTAAAGAACACAGCACTTACTGTGGAGAAGAAAAAATACGTATTCTTCAGAATGGTGGATATATCAGCAGTAATGAACCCAAAGGACTGGTAGAAGGACTTATCAAAAATACTCGTGGCCTTGGCCATCATGGAAATCCAAAGTTGAAAAAAACTTTTATTCCTGTACCACATACAATCTCTTTTCCAGTTGATGACTCATGCCAGTTTCTTATTTTAGCTACTAATGGACTTTGGGAAGTTCTGGATAAAAATGAAGTAGTACTATTAACATTAATATTGTTTTCTGCTTATTTGGAAAAGTACCAACATGATCAACTAAAGAAAAGCTCCATGCCTGAAGATTCAACATCACCTGCGAGGGATTTGAAAGATGAATTCTATTCATGGTATTCAAATCAAGATTTTTTCCCAGAGGACATAAATCTAAACCAAGATAATGTACGGTTAATGGCCCCAACAAATGACAATACAAAAGAAAAAGAAATTATTCAGTCAGGGTCCTTTAGAAAGAATTCAGAAGAGCAAGAATCAGAAAGTTCTTTAGAACCACCTTTTATGGATCTATCATTTTCAGAAGATACAACAGAAAGTGACGAAAAAACACCATCAGCATCTAGTACTGAAGAAGATCCAAAGGAAGCCCATAAATCTTCAGAAACATCAGAAGATTCTGAAAAAGATTCTTGTACATTTCATGCCCTTGCAGCTAAGTATATTAGTAAGCACCTTGTAAAAGCTGCATTAAAAGCAGGTTCTAGAGATAATATTACTGTTTTGGTAGCACTCTTAAATGGCTGTGATAAGATCCCTATGTATGTTTATCAATGACAGTGTATTCATGGGAAGGAAAAACAAGAACTGCACTTCCACCCATTTTATGATAAGTTGTGCCATAATAAATAAACAAAAATGAGTACGTCGTTAAGGAGACTGATTACAAGGATTTCCTTTTTTATACCACTTTATTCAAACCTGAGCACCTCAATATAAAACTAAACACTGGTGAACTGTCATTTTCCTTGCTAAGCCCAAATTACTGCAAATTTACAATCTGCACATGTAAGTTTCTGCTAGCAGTTCAACATTTAAATAGATTAAATCATCTTCTCTGACACTTGGTAGATTTCATATAATGAAAATAACTAAAGAATTAGTGCAATATACTCGACAGATCAAAATAAAATGGACTTTGGAAAACAAAGTTGCAGAATTCATTACAGACAGACAGTAGTACATATGTTACAGGTACAGGAGCATCATTTATTACTGTTCTAGCCATGAAGGAAGAACTTAATCCCCTCAAAGTTTGGGGGAAGAGAAATGTTAGCTCTTTAGAGCAACTGTACATATTGTATACTTTTAAGCAACTCTTAAATAGTACAGAGTATTAAACAGATGTAGACTACAATGTAGTACCCTATTTACAGTACATTAATATCCCAATTTAAAATCAAGTTGAATGTACATAATTGTTAGTGCACTGACCAATTTTATTCTTAGGGGAAAGATAATTGTTATGGTCAACAATGATTAAAAACAATCAGATACCCAGTTTTTGTTGGACACAGATTTCAACAGCTTTATAAAGAATCTTTGTGAATTTCAGAGTTGAATTCATTGGTTGTGCTGTTTTACAAACAGAACAAAAATTGAATTAAACTTGATTTTTTAAAAAAAAACCTTTAAACTGGATTGAAAAAAAATTACATATAGTGTAACAACTAAGATCAATTGTTCTGTAAGCACAGGATCAGTAAAATTATTAATGCTGCACATATTTTAGTTAAATTATGAAAATGTGGAATGTATATTTAAATGGTAGATACCCACATAAACAATATTTTGCATAAATACTGTGAATAAGCTTATAAGATCTTCAGGTGTGTTATAGTTAGGGTTTTTTCCCCATACCACAAATGGAGAATTTCAATTCTGTTCATTACACTTTTAACAGTAACCAATATTTAAAGCTTGAGAAACTAACTGGTTAACTGCAGATTCATGGAGCAGTTCAGTCTCTACCCTTAATGACATGTAACAGTTTATAAACCTTTCGACTGAAACAAGTCTATTCAGCTTCCTTTCCCCCACCCCCACCCCTTTTGCTGAAACATAACAGCCAGTGATACATGCATGTTATTAAAAATTAGGACAAAATCATTCTGTATTAGAAACGACTATTTCGTAAGTCTCTTCGATTTTGGAAGCTGTATTGGGCCAGGTTAAACACTCCAAATCCCATTGTTATTAACAAGTTAGGAAGCAGAAGAATATTCAAGACAGTTTAAAGCAGCTGAATTCAGATTTAGTTGCTACAACATTGACTCTTAGTTGGTTGTGTTGGTTCAGTAAGATCTACTCCTCTTCCCCTAACAGAGTTGGCCCCTGCATTCTGTGGTTCATTCTTCGGCAACTTTTTAGCTACAAAAAAGAATAAACAAACACATAAACAAATAATAAAACATTAGCATTCAATTTCTGTAAAAGGATACCCTGTGCATATTTATGTCTAACAGATCTATGTTAGATATGCTTTTTCCAAATACATTTATACAGAAAATACCCTTTTACACCCATATACACCAATCTCCCCAATTCTTCCTGCTAAATTCCAGCTCTTTTAATCCTCAAACCATTATGATTCTACTGTTCTCAAATGATACTTCAGAGGAATGCCTTGCACAAATGGTCTCTGCAGGCAGCTGTCCTACAGGAGTTTCCAAAATGGATTGCTTTGAAAGTTACTAATGAGAAGTGTATAAAATGTTCTTACTGCAACAGATGAGGTATACTGTCTAGAACAGGCTTGTCCAACCTGCGGCCCGAGGGCCGCATGCGGCCCAGCTCAGCTCGTAATGCGGCCCAGTGCAATTTTTTTATTTTTAAAGAAATTGCAGTTTCAAGTTACACTGCTGGCGCTTGTGAAAGTTACTAATGAGAAGTGTATAAAATGTTCTTACTGCAACAGATGAGGTATACTGTCTAGAACAATGAAACAGGACTGAAAATAAATTAATTCAAGTAACCTCTAATGAAGCCAATGAGGCAAATTTGGGAAAGTCACGATTTCTCAGCTGAGCTTACTTGAGGATATATTGTATTATTGTTATAGAATAAAAATGATGGTATAAGGTTAGGGAAAAGGGAGGGGTTTTTAGGGAAAGATGATAATTACAGGGTGTGTTAGGAATTTCATCTCTATAAATCATTACTATTTCTTTCCAACTGAGCTTACTTGAACGGTTTGGGGATTAAAAGGATAGGGAAGCCACATAAATGGCCCTCAGCTACCTGGAAATATAAAAATAGGTTACTTACCTGTAACTCTGGTTCTCCGAGTGGTCATCTGTGAATTCACACTATAGGGTTTGATCTGCCCCTCCACAGAGGTTTCCGGAATATTCTAGAGCTTTAGCACATACTTGCCAGGCCCGCCCCCCTAATATTCTAGAGCTTTAGCACATGCTTGCCAGGCCCGCCCCCCTATTATTTAATTTATTTATTTTATTTATTCCATTTATACCCCATCTATCTGGTCATATTGACCACCTAGTACATGTGGTCCGCCCATCCTGGTGACTACCTCAGTTCCTAGAACAGCCCACCACTGCATCAAAGTGAGACAGACATGATGGACAGCAGGGAGGACAGTGGAAAGTGTGAATTCACAGATGACCACTCAAAGAACGAAAGTTACAGGTAAGTAACCTCTTTTTCTTCTTTGTGGTCTCTGTGAATGCACACTAATGGGGGATTAACAAGCCAACTTACAGGGGTGACTACCTCAGTTCCTAGAACAGCCCACCACTGCATCAAAGTGAGACAGACATGATGGACAGCAGGGAGGACAGTGGAAAGTGTGAATTCACAGATGACCACTCAAAGAACAAAAGTTACAGGTAAGTAACCTCTTTTTCTTCTTTGTGGTCTCTGTGAATGCACACTAATGGGAGATTAACAAGCCAACTTACAGGAGGGAACGTCGCAGAAGGACAGAAGAGAGAATGGTTCTGCCAAATGCTGCATCTGTCTTAGCCTGAAGGTCTAGGTGGTAGTGGGTGGCAAATGTAGAAGGAGCTGCCCATGTTGCCGTCTTACAGATGTCGGGGAGAGGTACTCCATGAAGGAAAGCTGTAGAAGCAGCAACGACTCTGGTGGAATGAGCCTTTTTGGCAAGCTGGTAGGCCAAAGTTATAGTCTTGGTAATCCATCGGGAGATGGTTTGAGGGGACACATGGAGACCCTTGTGGGGAGGATGAGGTGTCACAAAAAGTCTTTTTTGGACTTACGGAAGGAAAAGGTCTGGGACACACAAAAGGCAAGAGCTCGTCTGACATCCAGTGTGTGGAAGGATTGTTCAAGGTCAGTAGTCGGAGATGGAAAATAGGTAGGTAGAATAATAGGTTGTTTAAGGTGAAAATCAGACACAACCTTTGGGAGAAAAGAAATATCTAGGTAAAGGGTAACTTTATCTGGGTGAAACTTCAGGAATGGAGGCAGCAAGCTCTGAGGCCCTGCGGGCAGAAGTAACAGCTACGAGGGAACGTCTTAAAGGAGAGAGAGGTTCAGAGGTGGGGGAGGAAGCGTAAGGCGTTGAAGGAGCCTATAGAGCGACCATTGTCGCCGTTTGCCTTTTCTTCATTCTTCCGACCTCAGACAGAGAGGGTGGAGTGGCATCTACTACGTCAGAATCTGGCATCGGTAGGTTCAGAGGAGAGTCCTGTGGTGGTACAGAGTCTGAGGTATGAGAATCAGACAAGTGATCAGTTGATGGTGGAGAAGGTTGTACTTGATACAGAGCAGATTTCATGTTGAATTGGTAGAGGACGAGGTGAAGGTTGTTAAGGTTTTTGATGCTTTGCCTTGAGAGGTTGTTAGTGTCAAGAGGTAGAGGTCCAGCATAGGTAGTAGTTACCTGAACAGATGGATGTACCTGTGATAATGCGGTAGCCTCAGTAGGTGGCAGATGGATTTTAGAAGATGGCTGAGAACATTTTGGTATTGATTGGTGCTGTCCTATTGGAGGCTGGGTGCGATGTCCTCTTTCGAGAGGATTTGCAGATCCTTCGCATGGTGGATGTACGGTATCATCATCAGATGAGGAATAGTGGTGGGACTGGGGAGGATACGGATGAGGGGACACTGAACCAGATTCTTCCAATGGTTAATAGTATGCATACCAGGAGCGATGAGGCTCGATGTAGGGACTGATATCAGGATGCCAATATACATACACTCGATATCAATGGCATTTAGCTGGAGGTTAATAATATGTTGGTGGCTCATAGAGTGTGACTTGCTTAGGGTGTTGATATCGAGTCAGCGAATCATGCAACACCAACAACCCTGCAGAAACTGGAGGTTGTGCAATGTCCGCATCGGACTGGCCAGCCTCTGGTGTATAGTGAGTTTTCCTAGACCACTTTCACAGAGATGGGTCAACCAAAGGAGATGGTGACTCTGAATCACACACAGAAGCATAACATCCCATGGATTTGGGGCGCGAATGTGCCAAATGTGATATGACTGTCACGTCTACACAGGTGTTGTCCCAGGATGGAGATTGGGCAAGAAGCGGAGGAGGAGACTGACCGGACAGTGATGGTATGAAGTCCTCATCAAAGTTCTCCAGGCAGACAGTTGCTTGATCTTGAAGAGGAACTATTGGAGTTGATTTTCCTGCTGATGTCTGAGTAGACTTCTTAGAGGCTTGAGAGTTCAAAGTAAGTTTTTTGGTCTTCTTAGACTTGGAATGATCGGGTACTGAAGTAGGTTTCGGTATCGGTGTGGACTTAGTTGACAGTTTCGAGGACTTGGATTTAGAGGTGGTCTTAGACCTTGATTTAGAAGAGACAGATCCTTGTGTCAGGGAGGTAGTAGGTACCTCGAGAGAGATATCTTTGGCCTGAACAGTTTGAGAGGCTTCTATGGTGTTTTGTGCTAGTAGAAGGGACGGTTCCAAAAAGAAAGGATCTCGGGCATTGTTGTCAAAGTTTAAGAGCCTGTTTTGTAAAGTTTTTGCAAATTAAACACGAAGATGGTAGATGTGATCCCCCCAGGCAAAAAAGGCATGTGTCGTGTTCATCTGAGAGGGGAATTATGTTTGGGCACGAAGTGCAGCGTTTAAACGGGGCTACGGGTGCCAGAAAAGGTGTAAGGGAAGGGGAAGGGGAGGCGGTCAGGAGAGGGAGAAACAGCTCAAAAAGTCTCTTACTGTAATCCCTCTGTATTAACTCTTTTTTAGGAAGAATGAAGAAAAGGCAAACGACGAGCTCGGCGTAAGATGAAACCTCAGTGGTGGCAAAAAGGAACTGAGGCAATCACCAGGATGGGCGGATCACGTGTACTAAGGGGGCGTTCCTGGCAAGAGCGTGCTAAAGCTCTAGAATATTCCGGAAAACTCTGCGCAAACACAGATTAAACCCTAAAGTGTGCATTCACAGGGACCAGGAAGAAGAACAGAATAATAATGTAATGAGAATGAAATACAAGTATCATGGTGAAAATCTATGTTTTATCTTTGGATTAAAGCCACTCTAATGAAAACAGAGCACTGTCTGGCAGACAGTATTACATCAATTTCTTCATTTCATTCTGATTTGGGCTCTGATAACTGCTCTTGGCTTCTTTCCTTAATTCTAGAACTAGCAAGAGAGATTGCAACAGCTGCTTTCCAGGTACAGAGTACAAAATATAAGAGACAACCAGCACTAAAGACAAACGTTTCTTATGCTTGTCTTTCAATAAAAAGCAAGATAATAAGAAAAAACAGCAGATACCAGCAGCATTTCATTTTATCCTCCCCCCTTATATTATTTAATATCTATATGATGCTTAAGAATGAGGTACCACCAATTTCCCCTCTAATTTTCAACCACAACTGAGTGGAAGTCCTGACCCACATGTGCAAAGTTCCCAGCCGTGACTGGAACCAAATGAGTGGTAACATGAACTGTGGGTGTGTGGCACCAATACAGTGCTACACAGCCACACACCCATGTAGTTTAGAGGAAACATTGGGTGCCAATATAATAGCATTCAGTTCCATTGCTCCTTGTCACCTAACCCCAAGAGAGCAGTCAATACCTTCGAACATGATCTAAGTTCAGCAATAGGCTTGATGACGATGAAACAAGCTCAAACAATATCCAGACAAGAGGTGCTGCTGTTTGGTGGGAACTCTGGCTCCAGTATTCCCAAGTGACAAGGAGTGCCTTTGTACAACTCCATTTATTAAATCCACTGTGACCATTCCTGATTCTTCACTTGGCAAGTTACCCATGCCTTAAGTTACATCATATGCTTACTACTAGAATGTGCTCTAGAGGGTTGAGTATAAAGGAAGAGGGTCCAGCATCTTCAATTGGTACAATATGTGGCAGTAGATCTGCAAAGTGGTATACGGATTCTAAATAGTAAGATCTCAACACTGGTTGCAACTGCTTCTCAGGCATAACGTCTGGTGTTGGTTTCAACCTTTAAGCCCTAAACAGCTTGGGCCTGGCTATCTAAGTGGTCATTTATGTGATTATGGACATTTCCAGATGTTAAGATCTTCAGAAGTGGCCCTCTCGGGGATATTAACTGGTGCATAAACCTGCTTGTCAGAAATTCTTGCACCATAAGACTCACTTTTTTCCCACAAAACAGGGGTGTGGAAAGTCTATGCGTCTTATGGAGCTAAGAAAACAGATTATATTTTCCTGTTTTCTTCTCCTAAAAAATTGGTGCGTCTTATGGAAAGGTGCGTCTTATGGAGCGAAAAATACGGTAACTGGTGCATAAGCCTGCTTGTCAGAAAGTATTCTCTTGTATGGCATCACAATTTGGGATGAATTCCCCTCAGAGTTACAATAAGCTTCCATTCTCACTACTTTCAGAAAAGATATGAAGATACACCTTTTTTAATCAGCATGCAATATTGTGTATTTTATGATGATTTAGAATGTTTGTGTGCTAAATTGATTTTAATAGTTTTTACAGTCATATTTGGTTTGAATTGATTTTAATAATGGAAACAACAACAACAATTCAAAGAAAGCATTTAACTGCAAGGCTTTGTATCAATTAAGACCTGCCTACCTGAAGTGAAAATGGGGACAAAATAAAATGGGAAGCACAACTACTCTAAGCATCATAAAGTCCAGATCCAAACCTATGTGTGGCATTTTACATATGCAACAGGCATTTCCACCATAATTTAATCAGTATTTTCTTGAATTGCTCTCTCTGCTTCAAAGTTGGATTCCATCTCTCATTAGCTCCAGTATGAGCCCAAACAGATGAGAAAGCCAGACTCCAACAACACTTGAAGATTCCAAGGCTGTCCATGCCTGCATTAGACTGAAAATGTAGTCTTTCTCAACTAGAATCAAGAGCTGGAGTGGAAACAAATAGTTAGGCTGCTTTAAGTTCTTCTTTTATCCCAACATTTTATAATGAGTTGATCAGTTTGTACATGACAGAAAGTTGCTCAACACACTTGATTCTCTTTTCTTCTAAAATAAAAGTCATGTTTTAGCACAGAAAATCAAGACAAGAAAAAGCTTGTTGGACAAGCACAAACCTTCCCCCCCCCCTTACCACTGTATCCATATAATTTTGGTATCATGCCTTTGAATGAGCAGCATACAAACCTACTTTTAAAATGTATTTTCTGCTAAGGGCTTACTTACCGATTGCCATGAATATTTCATTTACATTCATTGATGTTTTAGCTGATGTCTCCATAAACAACAAACTGTTGTCATCCGCATAAGACTGTGCTTCCTGTGTTAAACAAACCAATTTATTTTTCCTCATGCAGTTTTGTCTTATGCAGTACTTTATTACTGCCAACTGAAGATCTAAACCGTTGTTTGAAAGGATTAATTCTGACAATTACACCTTATTAAGATCTCCCTCCACTCTTAAAAAGCCAACATCCCTTCAGCATTTAAGTGTGTCTTGTGCACACCTGCATGAACATAAAATATATAAACCACTAGTCTGCAGATGTTACCAACGGATTCCCTTGGAGGAAAGAGTTTGCCCATGTGGAACTAATGCAGCTGAAGATCTAACCCACTATTTATTTGACTGCCCAACCTATAAAGATCAGAGAGTAGCTTTGTTCCAAGAGTTAGGTCTCACATTTGATAGATCTGATGCATATTTGATAATTTTTCTATTGGGGGATAAAGTGCCATACATTTCTGAAAAGGCAGCCAGCTTTGCTTTTAGAGCTATGGTTTTAAGAAGGAAGTTCTATAGTTATAATGATCATGTTTAACTGAAGATTGAACTGTTAAACATGATAATGTTGTTCTTAGACGATTTGTATACTTTATTTGATATTTTATCCTATTCAAACTTCTTCTGTAATGGCTACAGCTATACACAAATAAACTTGCTTACTTACTAGTCTGAAGAGTAATAGAGAGGACTACCAGAAAAGAAAGGTAGGGGAAACTATAGGAATTGAAGATGGGAATATAAATGCTATTTAAAAAAACTGAGGCAGACAGGAAAATTTATTTCAGGATCCAGGAAAACAAAAATTCTTTATCTTGGGAACAGTAAGCATAGACCATTACATGAAAGATCAATGTCAGAAATCTTAAATAGTCATAGAAAATAATATCTGTATTACTCTACAGAAAGATGTACTGTACTTGCATGTGCCCATGCATGACTATGCCTTATTAGAAAAGACATAAGAGTGGCTTTAGAATACAGTGGTGCCCTGCTTGACGATTACCTCGTTAGACGAGGAAATCGCTTAATGATGTGTTTTTTGTGATTGCTTTTGCGATCGCAAAACAATGTTTAGATAGGGAAAATAAGCTTTACGATGATCAGTAACCTGCTTTGGGAACCAATTTTTTGCTTTAGGATGATCAGAAAACAACTGATCGTTGGGTTTCAAAATGGCCGCCCACTGTTTAAAATGGCTCCCCGATGTGTTTAGGAAGGCTTTTTCGCAAGAGGCACCGGAAAATGGTCGCCCTATGGAGGATCTTCGCTGGATGCTGATGTATTTCGCCCGCTGGAATGCATTGAACCGGTTTTCAATGCATTTCAATGGGCTTTTTCATTTCGCTTGACGAGGATTTCATTCTACAGCGATTTTGCTGGAACAGATTATCCTCATCAAGCGAGGCACCACTGTATTCAAGCATATTTACTCTCTACATGTTTCATTCAGAGCAACTCTAGCTTCAAGTCTCACAATACAAACCCACTTTGTGCACTTTGCAGTGATAGATGCACTGAAATACATTAAGAGAAAACTCCTTAAGCTGAATAATATGCGGTCACCTATAGTTATTTTCAGTTCCAAAGACAATTATGCAGCCACTTGCTCACAGAGGTTCAGAAATAAAAATGAATTCTAGAAATAATAGTCACTGAAGAAATACATAAAAATGTTCTCTGCATAAACATCTGTCAGCACTTAAGGGGTTTAATTTTAGAATATAAAGTACAAGGAACACAAAATGATCACCAGAGACGGCTTGCCATTTACTAATATTAAAATTATTTAAAACGTATTGTCAATGTCCTCCACTTTTCTGCTTAGTTTCAGGGAAGCAACACTAAAATAATGATCCAGATTAGGGTGGGTGATAAGGCTTTAATTCAGTCTTACTTTCAATCAGTGATTGGCAGATACTGCAGAAAATGCTTGCATCCAATGTGTTGCTCAACAAAGAGGATGAATTGGTCATTCTACATGCAACATACAGATGGTTTGGCAGAATAAACCCTTAAAATGGCTTGCAGCCCAACTACTTCCATTCACCGATCATGTTTTTTGTAGGGTATGTAAAAGTAATAGGCACAGTAGAACTCATAAAATATCAGTTTTGACAAGAGTACTATAAAAATAACACGACTAAATGAATTTTACATTACTGAATAATATTTCAACAAACTGAGAAAAACTTACCTGAAAATCTACAGCTCTTTTGTTAGCTAGATCAGCTTTATTTCCTGCTAAAGCTATTACAATGTTAGGACTTGCTTGCCTCTGGAGTTCTTTTACCCAGTTTTTTGCTCTTGCAAAGGATTCCTGTCAATCATTCAGAGAAAATAGAGCTCATTTATTTATTTCTAGTGTCACTGACTTAAATACCTTAACCAGACTTTATAAAGAGCATGGCTTGGCACCTACTGGCAGCATTTAATACTGTAAATGTGTTCACAGAAGCTGTTTTTATGGGTTCAAATGGGAAAGGGACAATCCCTTCTTGCAGTCCCCCTCCCTTCCACACATAGCCGCTTTGCTGTCCCACACCCCAAACAACTGTTCTAGAAGGCTGAGACATTTTACACAGCAGATTTGTGCCACTGGAAAGGAACATATGGGGAGGGAGAACTGAAAATTCTCATCTTGTTGCAAGCATCAAGATGGATTTAAGCCTCTGTCAAAATGGCTTCCACCTTCATCCTACTTCTCAACTTCCCATATTTACAAAATATTAAAGTTTAAGTTTATTTATCTGGAACAAGACCCTCTTCATAGCAGTGGAAGTTTAGGATTGCAGATGATTATTTAGAGCCGAATCTTATCATAAAGTGCTGTATGTCTTCTCAAAAAACACAGGTATAAAATATTGTGACTAGGATGCTAACTGGAACTTTTACTTGGGCACACATGATCCTAACCATTTACCCAGAATTGCTCCCTGTATCCCTTAAGCATCTTCACTCTTTCCCTCTAAATTTCTAAAGTTTAGTAAATGTGGCCTTATTTAGATATGCCTTAGGTTTCAATTAATTTCAACCTTATGACTGGCCGACTTTATCAAATCCTTCTGTTAATTATGAATAGCATTTTATTGCCAAAACTCACAACTGAAGGGCAATTTTATCAGTTCACTCCCAATCCACTCCAGCAAACTTCCAGTTTCCAACTGACCTCATAAAGCACAAGGACAGGCAGCAATGAGATGTGTATTGGAGCTGGTGGGAGACACTTGTTTGATTATCCTTCATGTTTAAGGAACAAAAACTAGCCTATGTCTTTCCTGTCACAGAGCTTGCTATTATATATCTCAGTGGTTCAGGTATCTGGCTGCGGAACCAGAGGACAGTGGTTCAGGTATCTGGCTGCGGAACCATAGGATGGGAGTCTTATTCCCCAGTGTGCCTCCTTCGCAGGGACTCAATGATCCATAGGGTCTATTCCAGGTCTGTAATTCTAAAATTCCCCACTGTGCCTCCTTCACAGGGACTCAATGATGCATAGGGTCTGTTCCAGGTCTGTAATTCTAAGATGATGATGTTCTTAGTTGTATTTCTCTTAACAGAGGTATATACTGTTTTGATAATGTAGGAGGACAAAAATATCACAATGAGGTAGACTGAGTGTTTGCTCAAAATAATAGTAGTGGGTTGGATCGATAGTTTGCTGAGTGTTTGCTCAAAATAATAGTAGTGGTTTGGATCAATAGTTTGCTGCAACCAATGGATGTACGTTTGAATTCTGCTCAAGATGCTTCAGGAAGTGAAAAGGGAACAAAGCACTTTTTACCAATTGTTCTGCTGAACAGCTCCCTCAAATTTGATCTTCAGAAGGCATGAGGATCACAGAGGAGAACTGGCTAAAGTACATTCTTGTGCCATCAGAAATGCTCTGCTGGATTAGAGGCCTTCCATGGACAGTAAAACTTTTCTATCTAATCCATAAACTGTCCACCATATATTGTAAATAAATCTGCCAAATCATCAGGGACTTCAATATGAATGGCTCTATCCATGTAATTCATACTGTTACAACCAATGTACATTGTTCATAAAACAAAACATTTTAAAGATAGGTTGCTGTAGGACTAACTGCAATCTTCAGAAATAGCACTTGTAACGAGAACAGCCAGCCTGTGCAGTCATGGGCAAGTTGCACAGTCCCATGCTGCCCCCAGAAAAATGGAATGGAAAGCCACTTCTGTGTATTCTCTACCTAGAAAACCCTGAAAAGATCACCATAAGTCAGAATTGACTTGACAGCACAAAATTATTACTATTAAATGAGAGCATTTAGCTCTCTTATTATAAAAACTCCCTGATTTAGAAAAAAAATCAATACTTTATTCATACACTAGAATTAAATCTGAAGATTTAATATGCCGTAACCCAGAAATTTATTATGAACTCTGCAGGACATACTCAAGACCCATGATGTAGCTCTTCTGTTCTATGCAGAAAGAAAAACAGATACAGTATCTCTTTGCAAATAAAGAAACAGGAAGAGTCTAACTGTTAAGCATTTTTGATTTTTCAGTTTTCTGATAAGCTAGCAATTGCATAGATTTAATATGCCGTAACCCAGAAATTTATTATGAACTCTGCAGGACATACTCAAGACCCATGATGCAGCTCTTCTGTTCGAAGCAGAAAGAAAAACAGATATCTCTTTGCAAATAAAGAAACAGGAAGAGTTTAACTGTTAAGCATTTTTGATTTTTCAGTTTTCTGATAAGCTAGCAATTGCATAAAATGCATTATTCACAAGGCCATCCCCCTGCCAATAGATGGGCCTCAGATGTCCTCCATAGCATACTTACCACTGCTGAAAGTTATCAGCACACTAAAGACAGTCCATTTTACTTTCAAGTACCACATGCAACAGAGTTATTCCAAATATTTGACTGACAAGTATAGCAATCTCACTATATTACCTCACTAATCTGCAAAAGTGCAACATCATCCTCAGATGTCCTCCATAGCATACTTACCACTGCTGAAAGTTATCAGCACACTAAAGACAGTCCATTTTACTTTCAAGTACCACATGCAACAGTTCTTCCAAATACCTGACTGACAAGTATAGCAATCTCACTATATTACCTCACTAATCTGCAAAAGTGCAACATCATATTCACAAGGAGAATTGAGTAAAAGAGAGTGCAGAGGAGAAAGAACTATCATTCATTTTATGACACATTGGTAAAATCTAGTAGCAAGTCACAACTAGAGTGGGTTGGCTGAGACAGTGGGAATCTGGTAAGTCAGCTCTGCTGTAAGTTCCACTGATACAATGGGCCTATTCTAATTGCAACTTACTACTGTATTTCAGTCATTAAGTTCCCTGAAAGGTATGCAAGTCCATTTCTTTGAGCAGCCAACATGAAACCAGACAACAGACAAAAATACTCCCAACATTAGAGGAAAAATAAGCAATGTACCAGATTGAGGAAAAATAAGCAATGTACCAGCCACCTAAGACATTACTTACCTCATTGGTAATATCATATACAACAATAGCTGCCTGTGCCCCTCTGTAATACATTGGCGCCAAACTGTGGTATCGTTCCTGACCAGCTGTATCCCAAATTTCAAATTTTACTGTTGTGTCATCAAGACATACAGTTGATGTTAGAAAAGCAGCTAAAGAAAAAACGAAAAAGAAAAACAGTAACAATGAGAACCATGATTCTGTAGATGTTTTGTCACCTTTAGGATATTTTTCTTTTTAGCCAAGATATAAAAACATAAATAACTATTTGAAGTTTTCTATTACCCACTGTAGATACAGAGTTGGATTCAAAAGACCCATTGGAATACATTGGATTTTAAGTTAGCTATCTTAAATTCCACAGATTTCAATGGATCTGCTCTAATTATGACTTCATTTACATCAGTCCAGTAGATTATAGTTAAAATTTTATACTGCTGAAACAGAGAAACTGTTGGAAGGAGAGTGAAACATTTAAGATGAGAATATTTCAATCCAATATTTTTTAAAAAATGGATAAGCACACAAAAGCTATCTTGATTATAGCAAAGCATCAGTTAAGCTATTTCATTTAATCCAGCCTTCACAAAAAAAAAAAAACTGGTACTATTAAGATATGCTCCAGTACAATCACTGTCATTCTTAACCAGTATTAGTCATTGGTCATGCTGGCCAGCAATGATGAGTTTTATTCCAATATTTCTGGTGAGCACTGGGTTTGAGAAGGACAAGTTAGGCATATGCTTGTTTTTGCTCCAAAGGAAAACTTGTTTTTATTCCAATTTCTAACCATACTTCATATGAGTTATAATGTCCTGGTTTCTAAAATCAATTCCAAACATAGTATAGCTCCAAGTTCTAAATTATATTGAGCACTGCCTGGGGGCTATACTGAAATGGATGCAAGAGAATAGACCGAGGCTGAACCCGGACAAGACGGAGGTCTTGAGTGTAGGCACCCCTCCTATCAGTGGTTTGGGAAGCTCCCTCACATTGGATTTTAAGTTAGCTATCTTAAATCCCAGGGACGTGGTGGCGCTGTGGGCGTTCCGTGTCTAAATCACACTGGCCATGTGAACACGGAAAGATTGTCTTCGGACAAACGCTGGCTCTATGGCTTGAAGAGCGGGATGAGCGCCGCCCCCTAGAGTCGGACACGACTGGACAAAAATTGTCAAGGGGAACCTTTACCTTTACCTTTTTATCTTAAATCCCACAGATTTCAATGGATCTGCTCTAATTATGACTTCATTTACATCAGTCCAGTAGATTATAGTTAAAATTTTATACTGCTGAAACAGAGAAACTGTTGGAAGGAGAGTGAAACATTTAAGATGAGAATATTTCAATCCAATATTTTTTAAAAAATGGATAAGCACACAAAAGCTATCTTGATTATAGCAAAGCATCAGTTAAGCTATTTCATTTAATCCAGCCTTCACAAAAAAAAAAAAACTGGTACTATTAAGATATGCTCCAGTACAATCACTGTCATTCTTAACCAGTATTAGTCATTGGTCATGCTGGCCAGCAATGATGAGTTTTATTCCAATATTTCTGGTGAGCACTGGGTTTGAGAAGGACAAGTTAGGCATATGCTTGTTTTTGCTCCAAAGGAAAACTTGTTTTTATTCCAATTTCTAACCATACTTCATATGAGTTATAATGTCCTGGTTTCTAAAATCAATTCCAAACATAGTATAGCTCCAAGTTCTAAATTATATTGAGCACTGCCTGGGGGCTATACTGAAATGGATGCAAGAGAATAGACCGAGGCTGAACCCGGACAAGACGGAGGTCTTGAGTGTAGGCACCCCTCCTATCAGTGGTTTGGGAAGCTCCCTCTCTTTTGGGGGGGAAACTCTCACCACAAAGAGTGTGGTATGCAGCTTGGGGGTCCATCTTGACCCAGTGCTTACCAGGGAATCCCAGGTAGCGTCTGTGGTCCGTACCGCCCATCTACATCTTCGGCAGATTGCCCAGCTGTGCTATCTTGATGGTGGGGCACTCACCACTCTGGTCCATAGTCTCGAGATTAGACTACTGTAATGTGCTCTGCGTGGGGCTACCCTTGAGACTGATGCAGAAACTACAGATTGTCCAGAACATGGCTGCCAGACTATTAAATGGGGTGAAAAAAATATCATCACAGTTCCCCCACTAGTGGTGAAGGCTTCTGGGACTTTTAAGTCCAAGAATATATGAGGACTCAAGGTTGGGAACCACTGATTAACACACTTTCTAAAGTTTACTATCAATTAGTCATAGGTATAGATAGTGTTGAAGAAAGCAAATTTCTTATAATTTTAGTGCAATATGCTACCAGGAAAGAACAGACACATAAAACGTGACAGATTCAGGGTGAGCTCCAAGAGGTCTTTGTGGCAGGGTTTATATGCCTTAGGAAGCACGAGACAGACACAATGACCATGTAAATCAGAGGTGGGTGAAGTGCAGCCTGCAACTCTCAAAATTCATCACCACCCGCTATACTGCCTAGGACGGACAGAAGTTGTAATCCAAAATCTGGAGGGATCTTAATAGCTCATCCTAGTATTAAATTTGTCTTATAGCAGTGAGATCTAGAGAAAAGCACATGCGCTTCAAAGTCACTTAAAAGTACTGTACACTGTATTAATAGTAATACTTGTTTGTAGTAGTTTGTGATCAGATGTTATTGTTCAAGGTGCTGTATTTATCAATTCAAGTTATCTTTTTGGAAACAGAAAAATACAAGGGAAGTTAGAAGACTTGTAATTCAGTAAGAGTTACCATTTTGTAGTACATTGTTGTACATTTTTATCACGGGGACAGAAAAATCTAGAATCACTATCTAAGGATTATAATTGACCTGCATAAAAGGAACAACCCAGGCTTCAAATGTTTTATCTTTCTCTTTATTTTATCTGATTGATTTTATATTTATCTTTCGAATAAAAATGTAGACTTTTATCCCATTTATTATTGCTTTGGGATGGGAGAATGTGAGGCCCTTTAGGTGCTGCTGGACTACAATTCCCTCCTCATTAGCTGCACTGGGTAAGGCTTAGTTTTGCTGCAGTCCAAGAACATTTTGGAAGTCACAGTCTGCCCACCTGAGTTACAGTAGAAAGCAATAAAGAAGGAAGTTGAAGAACAGTAAAAACATGTTTTTAGGCTGGCAAATGATGTCTAACCTGCCTTGCACATTTTGATTGTATCTTTGTTGCTTTTATGGGTTTCTATCCATTTACATGGTTTTAATGGTTTTATACTGGTGCTGACTACATGATGTTATTTTTTTCAGTCAATTGTGGCTTTATTTTGTTTGTTTCTTTTTAAAAGTCTGTAAATCATATTGAGTGCTATCTTTTAGTGTAAATGAAGCATACAGTTATAATAATAAATATCACATGACACATCAACCTTTCTGTATACAGAAATTAACAATTTATGCAACATCTGTAGTTGCTATCACAAATATACATTTGATCACTACGTAAAGATATTGTTAAGCATCTACTTTAAGAAAGCAGATATTAACTATATTATTCTTTGATCACATAATTCTTATAACAGAAAAACACATGTTAGAGTACACTAACACTAACTCATTTTGGAACCAGATGGTAAACAGGTCAGGGGTGAAGTCATGAGAGAAGCAGAGACCCACCCAGCAGGGCTGAAAATTAGAGGGTACGTTGATTGGCTGCAATGTTTTCTCTAAGCTCTGTGTGCTTGCCCAGAGCTCCATTGGGGTTGCAGATCGACAGTCAGCTTGTTTACTTCCCATTTCGAATGAAGCCCCATCCATTCCTGCACACACGAGCGAAGCTCCTGTGCAGCAGGATGAAACTTAGAGCTGACACATTGACTGGATGATTATGATTTGCATTACTGATAAAAATATAAAGTGTAATACACATACAGCTTCTACTCACCGCCAATTGTACTTTCTTGAAACTCATGAAATTGGCCTTTTACAAAACGAAGCACAAGACTTGACTTTCCAACTGCAGATTCTCCTAGAAGAACTAACTTGAACTGACATATTTTATTTCCAGCATTGGGTCCATTGGGTCTAGTTGCTCCTCGGTTGGCCATGTCCAAGACAGAGAGGAGTCCCTTGTTTCAGATTCTTAAAAAGAAGATTCCAGGATGTAAACCCCTATGTGCACTCACCTCAAGGCAATCTGTTTCAGAAAAAAAGTTTTTAAATATTAGAGACAAAATCTCAAGCACAAGTATCTTGTGTATTAAATATCATAATGACCTCCTAAAGGATCTAGGAATATAAGGAACTAAACCTTAATATTCATAATGTGCAACAAGAAATCTTTGGGCATAATTCAAAGAAAAAGCATGGAAGCAATAAAAAGGACTTGCCTTCTTTAACACAGCAGCCTCACATCATAACTTTTAAGTTATGGATAATGGGAGCACACAAAGTTGGTGAAAGGTTCACAGAGTAGGCAAGAGCAAGACCCAAGGCAAATCCTGCTAATTCGTCCATGAGATACATCCAGAGCTACACTGGAATTCTGTGTTTTCAAGCATTTTCCCAAAGAATGAACACTAGAGAGTCTAAGAAAGCCACGCGTATTTGATTTATATACCACCTGATTAGTGCAAGCACATTTTACAGCAGATGCTACATGCCATACATTAAAGCTGAAAAAGAGGTATGTATGCATTTTAAATATGTCCTGGCTGTGTAAATAGGATAAAAAATAGGTACTTTTTCTTACTTCAAACTTAGGGACATAGATCATTGTGAAAAAGACTGAAACATCTTTTCCAAGACAGAATGCTCATTGCTAACTCAATATACTCTTTTAAGACAGTGCATTCTTTAATTCCAAATGGAATCAGTTTTTTAGAGACATTAATTCAGACCACCTATGTCTGTATGGACAATAAATATTTATCTGGAAAGAAAGGAAATTTCCAAGCTCTCTTTAACAATTAACAGTAGCACATATGCTAAAGTGCTCCTAGTAATCAATGCATATCTACATATCTGCACCACACTAGGAACAGAACTCAGTACGAAGATAACGGACTGGGTTGATATGGATAGGGTCTGGTTTTGTTTTTTTATTTAACATTGTGAAAGAGAGATAGAGAAAAAAGAGAAAGTGGAGAATGAGCCGTCCCCTCAACAAAAGACACCCATGTGAGATGAAGTGTAGAGAGTGGGAGAGACATTAGAAAACAAAGGCGTGAACATAGAGGAAGAGGAGGAGAGGGAACTGAAGGAAAGAGGAAAAAATTGAGATTTGCTTGGTAGAGGAGAAAGAGAGAGAAGGAGAGGAGGAGTTAATTTTACTGGTATGGGAGGAAGATAAAAGATCAGAGTGGAAGGAGACAATTTAGAATACCGGGAACGTCAAAGAGAGAGGAGGATGGAGAAAGAGAGAGGGAGAAAGAAGCTGAATATGATAGAATGAGAGCACTATTGGAAGATTTTCTCAGTCTGAAGACAGGGTTCTTGCCTAATCCTGACCTCTCCAAAGGAAAGGAGACAATAGTGGTATATCCGCGAGGACAAGGTTGCTGGAAGAAGGTGGTCCATCCGGACTCCTCGTTCAACAGCCCACCACTGGAGGGCGACTGGGCCAGACATCCCTGTTATGGAACCATAAGTGAGGAGTACACTCATGAGGAAGCCCACCAATCACAAACAGTTTGGACCAGCCCCTTTATAAATCCTGTCAGTTCAAAGACAGAATTGTTGTCCTCTCAGTAAGGACAGTTGCCCAATATTAGTTTATTTGAAACAGTTGAAGTGATTGTCGATTCTCCAAATGTTAAGATCAATAACTCTGTTAATGTTCAAAAAGAGACTCCCTTGTTATTTCCCACTCAAAGAGAGGAACTGCTCCAGATATATGACAAACCCAATCACATCAAGTTACTTTTAAATTAATCTACTTACCCGGCGATATCATTAAGTTATGAATGCAGCAAGTAAGGTTTTGGGTATAGCAAGTAGCATTAAATCTGACATGTTTTTTGGGGAGCCATGCGAGCTATTTTGAGCAATTTTTGAATTTTAACTATTTGTTTAAAATAATGATCAGCTAGAAAGGAACTACAGAAACTCACCAAGGGTATGTAAAGTAAGACGTTAGTCTATTAATTAGGTATAAGCAATAATGCTAACAAGCTATTTCTTTAGGGTAGGCTAATGAGAAGCAAGCTGGTATTAAAAAACAGTGCTCTGGTTTTCCTCTGTCATCCACACTACAAACTGGCATATATTCACTTCCCCGCCATTTGAAAACCCCTTGCCAGCTAGATAATAACCTTCAGCCAACACACTAGCTTTAAATGACTTCTTTCTCTTGCTGAAATGAAATGGCTATAAATAAGAGGCTTTCCCATCTTTTTGGTGCACATGCTTCTCCCCTTGATACCTTCTCTTCCCCTTAATAGGAGAACCAGTCAAGCATTCATGTTAATGAATAGTGCAAAGATTAATAAAACTAATTGCTAGAGGCTGATACTTGAGATAACCTAATATAGGACAATAGGTTCTTGTTGCCATACTTCTCAAACTGATCTCATTTAATGCAGACCAGGGATGGAGACTTGAGTTGTGGGACTTCTGAGCTTGTGTACTCTCACTAAAGGCCCTGTTGGTGGAGAGGCACATTTGGGGAAGACATCTGGCAAACAGAGGAGTGAGCAAGCATTTCTCTCTTCTTAGAACATCCTTTCCACCCCCCTGCAGGTCTCCAGCTATTCATATAGTAATTGCTATAAAGCAGTGTAATATATTGAGGAATAAGTTCCATTAAATTCAGTTCAATTTATTACCAGGTAATAAACAGGCAACTGCAGTCTAACACATCTCCTATTACTTGCCCAACATCCCACTGCACGGTTGGGGGATCCATGGTTCCCCAGGTATCACTGAAGTACTGTTCCCATAACTCAACAATATCTGGAGGCACAAGTTCTCCAGCCTTATCCTAATGCTTCAAAATGTTACATGTAATAAAAATTGGTTAAATTAGGAAATGTTAGTTCAAAGTTTAGTTACCTTAATGTAGTATTTTAATATAATTGGCTGAAATTCTGTTGCACAGTTATGCAATAACTTACAGTAATTTTCTTTCAAAAGTTAAAGCATTTGCACAGTAGGATTTTGTTCACCATTTCTGTGTTATCCCTCCCAACAACAGTACTTTCAAACAATTTCTGGGCAAGTTTCAAGCAGATACACATTCAAAATGCTTCCATCAACATGTTTGAAGGTGGAGTGGGATAGAGAGTCACAAATTATTTCTTCCATCAAAAGCATTTCATAGAATATTATCCTAATATTTGACAGCAATTCTGAAAAAAAGTTGTGAGCTGCCTTTGTTGGGGACAGAAAGAAACAGATAACTGAATAAAGTCATTTATTATATAGCTCTTTACTTGTTTACAGATTCTAGCTAAGTAGTTTACAGATTGATCTTTCAGAAAATGCAAGTAAAGCTAAATGGTATTAATCTACACAGTAACATGCAAACAAGAAATCAGACTCTAACACTATTAATGCAAGAATAACTTCATCCAAAATGGGCCCTAAATTAATCAGTGTAGAATGAAAACTAATCTGAGATGTCATAGCTGCAAAGTAATCTCCTTATATTCCAATATAAACCAGAAATGCCATCTAGAGCAGGAGTCCCCAAACCCCAGTCCGCAGACCAGTCCTGGTCCACAGCCTTGAAAACTGGGCTGCCGGGACAGATGAGGAGGTGAGTGCTGAGCGAAGGTCTGCTTCCTGTCAGCGCACTCCCATTAGGTTCAAACACAAACTTTGCAGGCAGGTGATGGCATGTTCATTGCCCTCAAGCTCTTCTCCTCCCCTAAGGACATGAGACTCCTGCAGTACGCAGAGGGGATACCCCTTGATATGCCAGGGCAAATCGTGGTGCTCCAGTCGGTGGGGGTGGGAGCCAGTCACACATGTACAGACACCTTCCCTATCTTCATGAGCAGAAATCGGGGAGGAGACATAAACTTCCCAAGGGCTCTAAGGAAAAATAAATGCTTTTGATTTGGAAGCCTCCTCCGTTGAAGGCATGGAAACAAAAAAAGGGAATACCCATTTTTCGGGGGGACGACAAAACAAATGCATTTGTCCAGAAGCAGCAATAAGATCCAGCCCCATGAACTTAGAGGGATGACATTAAAAGAAATGGTCAGGGCTAGGCCCTGTCTCTGAAGGGGGAGAAACTCTCTGAGGCATTCACACACACTCGGTTGCATTACACTTTGCTGAATGTGACAAATACACTGACTAACAGGAAAAGTTTTCTCTCAGCAAGTTCCCCCCAACCTCGTGGCCTCGTGAGGACTGAGGGACCCCACAGGAGAGGACCAATACCCTTTGGAATAAAAAAAGGTGGTATTTAATTAAAAATATTATAGCAGCTTCATGGGGGGGAGAAGGGGAGCACGGAGGAAAGCGAACATGACAAAGCTGGAGCACTAGCCAAATGAGACCCAAACACAGCAGCACGGGCGGATCCTTTCTCGTTTTCTCCTGGAGTGGCCAAAACAGCAGCAGCAGCAGCAGCTTCCTTCCCTTCCACGTGTCCATCCTTCCTCACTAGGCTGGCCCGCAAACAACTGCCGCGCTTCCCCATCCATGCGCTCCCTCTCAGAGCACACAGCAGCACTTTTTCCCCTGCTGCAATTGCAAAAGCTGGTGTGCACAGGACACTGCTGAGCCCCAGTGTGTGGCAGGCTTGCCAGTAGAGACCAGCTTGAGCTGGTATAAAAAAAACTACGCTAGAATAGGCGAAGTGAGGAGATGGGTGCCGTTGTGAGAGGGAAAGGAAGCAAAACAAACAAACAAAAAACAGGCAGGCAGAGAAAGATAAAAAAGAAAGAAGAGGAGGACATATGGGTCTGTCAGTGGCTAGTTCGGGCAAGTGAGCCTCTGAGAACCCAGGCGCCCAAGCAGCACCTCCTTGGGCAAGGGGCAGCCTTGGCACAGGCAGCGAGAGCCTAGTGTTGGGTGAGGGGCTGCTGGCTGCACCTTCTTCCCCCTGCTGAAAGGAGAGGAGAGTCTGCTTTAGCCACAGGCTCCACTCTCTCCCCATGGGGTCAGGGAATACAAGTCTGAGGCAGCTGTTTCTCCCCTTGGTGCCTCATGGAGCCGGGTAGGGGTGAGAGCATTGAGGCTTGG